GTCCCTCACAAGATCGAGAACTGCAGGCTGGTCGGCAACGGACTCCACCAACGAAACCTACGGTCACAGTTGACGGTGGGGTCGTTCGACGCGTCGAAGAGTCGTTGCGCACCTTCGGAGAGGAAGGCCCGGGCACCATACGCACAGCGCACCTATGCCCGAACCTCCTCGTCCGCGTTCTCCTTCCCTCCTCTCCCGCCCCCTGTTGCCACCTCCCCTTCTCTGCTCCTCCTTCTCTCCCCGTCCCGTTTCCCTTATTCTGCCGCTCCTCCCTGCAATGGTGGGTGCGGGAGGGATGGGGGGGCACCTTGGAGAAGTAGGCGATGCGGCGGAGGGCAGAAATGGATGCAGGGGCACAGCGCGCGCAAGAGAGTGTGTGGTGCCGGAGAAGGGAGAAGGTGGGCATGGAGGAGGGGCGGGTCGGGTGAATGATGAGAAGGCATTCGCAACGCAGGCCCAGGACGAACATAAATCGCTCCAGGGCGTCTCGAACGAAGCAGTCGATACATGCACGGGGAATGGACGTCCGAGCGATGGCGAGCTCATCGATCAGTATAGTTCAGCCGACCCTTCGTGGGCCCTTTAAACGACAGGTCCGTTGTCACCGGTTCCGCTTTGCCGTGATTTTGCAGTTTTGTTGCCGGTCCCGTCGCCGTTTTTGTGGCCCCTTCTGTCGCCGTTCCCAATCGCGGGGCAGTTTGTTTGCCGTTTCGGGTCGTTGTTTGCTTGTTTTCAAGACACTTGCTTCGGAAACGGTGATAAAAAAGCGGCCCTGGCAATTCGGGGGCCCATTCAGAGCCGACCTTTGTCCCCATTCCCATCTAGCCCTCGACCATCCCACCACCCCAGTTGGGGATATGACCCTCGAAACCCGAAGGGCACGGCCCGTATCCCCGTCTAGGGGGGTAGATCGGCCAGTGGGGTCCAGGCCGCGCCCATGCGGATAGTTGGCATTGCTCGAACGTGTGAGTTATTCCTCGGCCAAGACAACCTGGATCCTCTCGCGAAAGATTGACGCACGAAGCCGAAAAACATGCACGTTGAAAGGACGCTCGATCGATGGCAAGGATAGGGGTCGATGAAGCGATGCTCCATCGACTCAGGAGAATCTCGGCGGCGAGCGAGGGGGGGGACATCAGAAGGAGCAGGCCTTCTCAGAAGGCTCAGAAGTTCCCTGGCCTTCGGCGGAGGAGTTTCCTGAACCTTCCCGAAGACGCAGAAAACGCCTCTCGGAAGGCGCGCAGGCTTCTGAGAGGTCCCGCCGCCGTCTGAGAAGGCCTTGTCCTTCTCACCCCCCCCCCTCGCTCGCCGCCGACTGGAGTTCGAAGAGGAGGAGGAGGAGGAGGAAGAGGAGGAGGAGGAGGAATCTAGGAGGCCTCATGGGGCACTGCCCGCCACGGCACGAAGGGATGCCGCCGTGCTCGCCGCCGAGAATCAGTGGTCGGTGGGGGCACGTCGCGTCCGGCTGCGCGGTGCGCCCGAACCCCCCAGCCGCCGCCGGCCCACGCGCACGGGCCGCCGCCGCAGCCGGCGCCGCAGAAGCCGCGGAGCGAGAGCATGCCGTGCGCCCGCCCGGGGGGGGCGGCAAAAACCGCGCAGCAGCTCGGGCCCAGGCCCTCCTCCTCTTTCTCCTCCTCTTTCTCCTCCTCCTCCTCCTCCTCCTTCTCCTGCGCACGAAGTAGCGGACGATGAGTGCACGCGCCCACCGCCGCCGTGGGGCGGGGCAAACCAGCCGCCCCGCGACCCCCTGGAGCTGGGGGCCGCGCACTCCTTGCGGGGCCCGGGTGAGGAAAAATAACGAAGAGAGAAGAAACGAAAAGGAAGAGGCGCCAGGCTCACCATGTGGAGCTCCAGGAGCTCCACCAACCCGCCGATGGCGGGCGGCTCCCATGCCTCCCTGGTTCTTCCTGGACTTGGGGACACAGGTTACCCCACGTCACCGTGCGGGGCACACGGCGCGTGTTACCGCGCATGGGCAAACTGGCCCGCCCCCACAGGCGCCTTTGCCCAAGGGGGGCCCGGCGGTACACGGCTTGAGCCGTACTCTCCACGAGAGTCGACCCTCTGGCCACACCCGAGGCCCCGACGTCAGGGGCGGGCCCCATCAGTGGCCAGAGCCAGCCCCCGCATAGGCTGGTACCACACAGGCCGACGCAGACTGGAGAACCCGCCCGCGCCAGCCCTGGGGGGTTACCCACGCGGCCCCAGAACGTCGGGTCCCCAGGGGACCTGAGACGGCAACATCCTCCTCCTCCTCCTCCTCCTCCTCCTCCTCCTCCTTCTCCTCCTCCTCCTCCGGGCAGCAGCTCGGGCGGCTCAAGTCGGGCATGTCCCTCTCCAGGAGGAGTTCTGTTCAAAACTAATCCAGAAATAGTCTGGAGGCGATTTTTGTCTGTATGTTTGTCAATGCTTGGCTACTTTGGCCAATGTTTTACATTTCCTCGAACATCCGCCTGTAGGAGGACACGCCCGACCTAAGCCCAGGCCCAGGGACCAGTTCGATCTGATCGGTCTGACTCGGTATACAGTCGACCCGCATGGTAAGGCTGGCCAACCTTCCCAAGGGTACCCTTGCATCCTTGCCTCCTCAGTCCATCCTCGGCCACCCACTCTCGTTGGTCGCGCCCCGCTCGAGAAGCTTCGAAAATGAGCGTCCAAGGCCCCTGCATCCTTACCGCGCATCCTTATCATTCGGGCCGACGGTAGATTTCGGCCGGCTCGGTCCGATTCGGTTCCGAGTTTTGTCCGCTTCGATTCGAAGAAAATTAGCGGCACGCACAAGTGGCTACAGTCAATTCGCATAATGAGGACGGGCATCATTCCCAGGGTACCCCTGCATCCTTGCCTCCTCGTTCCATCCTCGGGCACCCACCCTCGTTGGCCGTGCCCTGCCCGAGGAGCTTCGGAATGGGCGTCCAGGGCCCTTGCATCGTCATCGCGCATCCATGTGATGCGGGCCGACGGCAGGTTTCGGCTGGCTCGGTCCGATTAAGTTCCGAGCTTCGTCCGTTCCGAGTCGAAGAAGCAAGGGATTGGCCTGCCGAGAAGGAAGGGGGGCTTCTGAGGAGGCAGGGGGGCTTCTCAGAAGCCCCCTGGCATGTGAATGACCTTAGAAGTCATTCCCGTCAAGATGAACAACTCATATACATATATTTATAGTTGTAGATACATACACATACTTTCGGCGGTCCGCGCGGACTTCTTGGATCGGCGCTTGGACCCCTTGGCGCGGCCTCCGCCGCCGCCCCTGTCGCGCTTCGCGATGCCAGGGGGTCCCAGCGCCGATCCAAGACATCCGCCCAGATTTCCGGAAGTTTCTGCGTATACGGTTTGTTGCTCCTCCAGTCTGATCCGATGCGGCCCGATGCTCGCATGGCGCTGCTGTACATCCTGGAGCGGCCGATGCGATTCGGTTCCAGCTTCGTGGTGATGCAGCCCGATTTGGTGCATGCTCCGATCCGGCGGGCCCAGGGCCCTTCAGAGAACTGCCCAGGGTCCAGGCTGAAAAACTTGTCCCGGGCAACGGTCGAGAGCTCTGGGGGTCCACGTTGTGAAAAAGATCGTGCCTTCGGGGGTGTCGGAACGTAGCCTGTGGGAAACGAGTCCTAATTTTTTGCGCCGTTTGTGACCTCTCAAGGCCTTCCACGGGCTCTGGCATTGTTTCAAATCGAATGACGAAAATTGCATCAACATGCATTTTCTGCGCTGGGCCTCCTTGGCGGCACCTCTGGCGCCGCCCGGGTATAACCAGGACTCCTGGTAAACGGAGCCGGCTAGTGATTGGGCCCCAAAGACCCCATAACGAAACGGAATCACTAAAACGGGTGTGCGTAGCTGGTGTACCCTCGGGTGGCGGCAGTTACAGCTAATTAGTGAATTGGAGCGGGGGGGCGCTCCCCAGTACACGTCCTAAACCAATTCCCACGACAGTCAACCCGCATAGTAGTGTATGGGCAATTTGCCCAAGGGTACCCATGCATCCTTGCCTCCTCGGTCCATTCTCGGCCACTTTCAGTGGCCGTGCCCCGCTCGAGAAGCTTCGAGACGGCCTTTCAAGGCCCTTGCATCCTTCTCGTGCGTCCTTCTGATACGGGTCGACTGTACACCAATTCCTGCCAAAGTCCGACAGGGACGGGATTCCAGATCCGACCCATTCATCTGAGCGCGGCGCTGGCAGTTTGTGCCTTCGCGGCATGTCTTCCTCCAGCAATAACGGGTCCTGAGGTATGCGGCCCCCGAGGTTTGAAGGAGGTGGAGGAGGAGGAGGAGGAGGAGGAGGAGGAGGAGGATGGGGAGGAGGAGGAGGATGGGGAGGAGGAAGAGGAGTGCTGATGACGATGGTTCTAATCATGGTGGTGGCCTGTGGAGCATGTCTTCCTCCAGCACGCCGGGCCTTGAGGTAGGCGGCCCCCCGAGGTGTTCGCCCTCTGTGTGACCTCCCCCGGCCCTCCACGTGCCCCGGGCCTCTCTGTACGTTCGGATGCAACGATTGGGAGGTCAAATTCTGACTCTGCCCTGGCCCGAAATCTGGATTACAGTACAGTGGAGGCCCATGCCAAGAATCACCCTGCTTGCCTCCAGGGTGCCCTGGGTTTCTTCGGTTTCGATGGTTTTGCTGTGGAAAGCGAGACGTTCCCACACCAGAAATGAATGGACGTCCGGGAGTCTCAGGGTTGGGTTTCTTGTGGAAGGTTTTTTGTGGATTGGCCTCCACTGTAGGGGGCCATACCACAAGAAACCTTTCACGAGAAACCCAACCCTGAGACCCCAGGACGTCCACATCGATTTGTGGCGTGGGAACGTCACGCTTTCCATAGCAGAACCATCGAAGCCCAAGAAACCCAGGGCACCCTGGAGGCGAGCAGGGTGTTTCGTGGCATGGATGTCCAGTGCAGTCTGGCTTCTTCCAGCTCGCTCCGGCTTCATCCCGCTGATGATGCGGCTTCATCCCGCCAAATCCGCTGCCGAATACAGCGCAGCAGCCCCGAGGCCGACGGCGGATGGCGGCGGCGGCGGCACGGCCCTCGGCGGCGACCTGACGCCGACCGCGCGCGGAGGTGCATCTTGCAGGAGGAGGTGGGCGAGCCGCGGGCGGCGCCCGCAGCGGGCGCGCGGCCCCCGGCGGCGGCGGCCGAAGAGAGGCCCGCGGCGCGCGTCGTCTGCGTCGTCGTCGTCGTCGTCGTCGTCGTCGTCGTCGTCTGCGTCGTCGTCGTCGGCGTCGTCGTTGTCGTCGTTGTCGTCGTCGTCGTCGTCGGCCGCGGCGGTCGTCGTCGTGGTCGTCGTCCTCGTCCTCGTCGTCGTCGTCATCGTCTTCGTCCTTGTCGTCGTCGTCGTTTTTGTCGTCGGCCGTCGTCCTCGTCGTCGTCCTCGTCGTCGTCGTCGTCGGCGTCCCCGCGCCGCGCCCCCCCGCGGCGAGGCCGGCCGCCGCCCCCGCCGCCTCCAAGGCCGGGCTGCAGCTGGACCCGGCGCGGGGCTCGGCGGCCGCGGCGCGCGCGGCTCCGCGCGCGCGGGGCGGTCTCCGCTCGGGCCGCCGTTGGCCTGGGCCTCCGCTTCGGGCATAGCACGCAGGAGGAGGATGAGGAGGAGGAAGATCGAGGAGGAGCAGGAGGAGGATCAACGAGGAGAAGGAGGAGGAGGAAGAGGAGGAGGAGGAGGAGGAGGAGGAGGGTCGAGGATCGAGGAGGAGGAGGAGGAGGAGGAGGAGGAGGAGGATTAGGAAGAGGGGGATTCAGCAGAGGATCGAGGAGGAGGAGGAGGAGGAGGAGGAGGAGGAGGAGGAAGAGGAGGAGCGGGAGGATAATGATGAGGAGGAGAAGGAGGAGAGGGAAACCTCGAGGGGAGGAGGATAGGATAGGACTCGGCCTTGCGCGCAGGTGCAGTAACATGCCTTCAAACACACTGTGTGCTACGCTCTCAGATATTGCCTCCAACGATCGCATACCTATACGTATAGAGATATACCTACCTACCTACCTACCTACCTACCTACCTACTTACCTACCTGCCTACCCACCTACCGACCTACCTACCTACATACATACATGCACACATACGTACATACATACATGCATACATGCATACATACACACATACACACAGGCATACAGACATACATATATACATGCATGCATGCATGCATGCATGCATACACACATACAGACATGTATGCATACATAGATACATACATACAAACACGCATACACACATACATACGTGCATGCATGCATACATGCATACATACATACATGCATACATACGCAAACACACACACACACACCTACATCTATACAGACATACATGCAGACATACATACACACATTCGTACATACATGCCTACATACATACCTACATACATACAAACATGCATAACCACAGACATGTATATATGCGAAAGAGCGTGTTCTACCGCTGCTGGCGAAAAACCGGGGGGGTCACTACCGGTTCGAACCCCTCCCCCCCCCCCCCCTCCGGAAAACCGGGGGGGTCACTACCGGTTCGAACCCTCCCCCCCCCCCCCAGCTCATCATGAAAAGGGGGGGGGTCACTACCGGTTCGAACCCCACCCCCCCCTCGAAAACCGAGTGGGGGTGCGGACAGAGGTGGGGACGGTGTTGGTGGGACAGTGGTGAGGGGACAGCGGGACAGTGGTGGGGACAGTGGGACAGTGGGACAGTAGAGGGCCGGTAGTGGTGGGGACAGTGGTGGGGACAATGGTGGGAACAGGGGGGACAGTGGACAGTGGTGGGGACGGTGGTGGTGGGGACAGTGGTGTGGGCACAGTGGGAATGAGGTGGAAACAGTGGGACAGTGGAGGGTACAATGGTGGTGGGGACAGTGGTGAAGGCGGTGGCGAGGACGGCGGTGGGACAATGGGACAGAGGTACAGTGGGGACAGTGGTGGGGACAGTGGGGACAGTGGTGGGAACAGTGGGACAGCTCAGTGGGACAGCGGCGGAGTCAGTGGGACAGTGGGGACAGTGGGGATAGTCGGGCAGTGGTTGGGGCCGTGGAGACAGTGGGGAGAGTGGAACCGTGGTGGGAACAGTGGTGGGGACAGTGGGGACAGTGCGACAGTGGTGGGGGCACTGGTGGGGACACAGTGGGGACAGTGGTGGTGAGGACAGTGGTGCTGGGAACAACAGTGGAGGATGTGATGCGGACGGTGGTAGGGACCGGGAGTCGTTTGCTGGCGGTGAGTGGGGGGGTGGGGAGGGGTTCGAACCGGCGGTAGTGATCCCCCTCGGTTTTCGGGGGGGGGGGGAGGAACCGGTAGTGACCCCCCCGGTTTTCCGGATCCGGGGGGGGGGGGGAGGGGTTCGAACCTGTAGTGACCCCCCCCAGTTTTCGAGGGGGAGGGGGGGGGCGGGGGAGGGGTTACGGGAGGATGGGGGTTTTGCCGGGGGAGGGGGGGAGGGGGGAGGGGTTTCCAGCAGGGGGGGGGATTTTCGGAGGGGGGGGGGGCGACCCCCGGGTTCCGGAGGAAAAGGTTGGCAATTTTCCGCAGTAAAGCGGCGGTGGATCACGCTCTCTCATATATGCATACATGCATACATACATACATACAAACAAACAAACAAACATACATACACACCCATCCATCCATCCATCCATCCATCCATCCATCCATCCATCCATCCATCCATCCATCCTTCCATACATCATACACACATGCGAACATACATGCAAGTATGCATGTATGCATGCATGCATACATACATAAATACACATATACAAGCATACAACCAAACACATACCTATATACACATAATAATTGTTCATGTTGTTACAGGCTTCGGTCAATGCGCGCTAGCTGCGCTGAGCGCAACTACCCAAAAGGCACCCGCGGGCTGGGGGCTGGCCCTACCAAACAATGGCAACCTCGGGGGGAGGAGGAACAGATCGGCGGCGAACCCGGGGGAGGGAAGTGAGAAGGGGCGGGCGTTGTCAGAAGGCTCGAAAGCCCCCAAGCCGTCATAGAAGTTTTCTCAACCTTCCCCGAAGGCACGAGAACTTCTCAGAAGGCGCGGGAGATTCTTAGAAGTCTTGCCGCCTTGTGAGAAGGCCTTCTCCTTCTCACTTCCTCACCTCGCTCGCCGCCAACTAATCATGGGAGACCTGTGTCGGTTGTTGCTAGAAGTGCCCCATGGCTCAAAGTACCCACCAGGATTTCTAGGGATGCCCCCATCGGCCTCCAGGACACCCCAGACACGATGCCCAGTGGGGCCCAGGGGTCCAAACTGGAGATAGTCGCTGGGGTATCAACCCTCGATTGTATACCTTGACAGTTCCGTCTTTCGGATGCATTGGCGTCGACCTGCGTCTCGTAATCGAGGAGGTAGCGTCGGTCAGTGCCGATTTCCGCGAGCCAGCAAGATGGTTTGGGAGGCTCCCGTCAATTTGCCGCCAGAGAGGGCCCCTCGGGGAAGAGCCCACCGATCTCAACACGAATTCTTTGGCAGTGGTTGTGGTCGATTTGGCCGTCCTCGGACGCCATGCCGACCACAACCACTGATAGGCACTAAGCCGGTTTCCGTTTCCTGACTGTTGGTGGGCATGCGCAAGACATCTTCCAGGGTGTGCCTTTGATGTGGTTGTGGTCGCTTGCTGTCCCCGCACACTCCCAGACGTCCCGAAGTTCGAGAAGTCGAGACGGAGGTTCTCCATTGGTTCTGCCGTCTCGGGGCCCTTACCGTGGGGGCCCATGCCAAGGAACACCCAGCTTGCCTCCGGGGTGCCATGGGTTTCTTGGGTTTCGACGGTTCTGATGTGGAAGGCGCGACGTTCCCGCACCAAGAATCTTTGGACGTCCTCGGATCTCAGGGTTGGGTTCCTAGTGGAAGGTTTTTTGTGGAGTGGTCTCCGCTGTGTTGGGCCGTCGGACCGTCAAAACAGAACGACTCGGGATAGAAAGCCGGTTCGACCCGCCCCTCCACGTGGCTACAGGTGCCGCCTCCATCGGGCTTCACAGCATCCATCCCCATTTCAAGGGGGGAGGTTTTTGGCGCTAAGGAACCCTGGTCCACGGGTCGGGGATGGCAGCACGACCCTGGAACTATGCTCGCGACCACCGCCGTTGCACAGCACAAACGACCCGCATAGCAAGGACGGGCAACCTTCCAAAGGGTACCCTTGCATCCTTGCCTCCTCGGTCCATCCCTGGCCATCTCCGTGCCCCGCTCGACAAGCTTCGAGATGGGCTTCAAAGGCCCTCGCGTCCTTATCGCGCATCCTTGCTGCAGGGGTGGACTGCAGAGCGGACACGCTCCAGGATCGGTTCGCGAGCGTGAGACGCTCTCCGCACGATGTGCATACGATGCCTCGGGCGACGGCCCGCACACTCTTGGCCTGTCTGGAATCGCCCGCATACTTCCAGACATAGCGTACTTGCATACACACATAATTTGCAGACGTACATGCTTCTATACGTAGTTCTAGACATATTTGTATTCAGGGCAGGAAAAAAAAAGGTAACCCTACCTCTACCCTTTGCCCGTTTGCCTCTTTGGGGGCCTTCTTGGAGGCCCTCGTCGCCACCGCTGCATTTGCCGCGAGATCCTGGTCAGAACGCACCCCGGGAGCGTTCTGGGGGGCAGCGGTATCGGTACTTTTTGGTTTCCCCATGTAAACACGCGTGCGGTTCCCAATTAGGGATCGGGATGGCCGAATTCAGCAGAACGAGGAAAGATCCGTTACAGAGCATTCCGGAATTCACCCGCCTTCTCGTGCGGCTCAGGTGAGCGACGCAAGAATAGGGGGTTGACTGCGCCGACATTGGCGCGTAAGCTGTCCGCGCATGGTCGCGCGTAAAGTGCCCTCGTCTCCACTGTGGCGTGCCGCGCTGGCGGCCCGCGGAAGCCGCCGCGTAAGGTCGCGATGTCATTCCGCGTAAGACGTAAGTTGGGCATATCCCTCTAAAGGTGGATTTTTGGAATGGCCCGAAGATTTTTTTTGGACTAATCCTTAGTTTTAATCCAAAGTCCGCCTGCAGGAGGACATGCCCGACCTAACGTGAGACCCGTTTTTGATCGTCGCCCAGGTGGAGCAGATCCGCTACGGCGAGCTGCAGTTCCACTCGCACCTCGGCTCCGGCGAGTTCGGGCAGGCGCCGCGCGCCGCGCCGACGGCATCGCCATCGCCTGGCCGCACAGTCGTCATCGTAGTCACGGCTTTGGCGTGGCCAGACTTGGAATCTCCGATTCGGGCTGAAGTCGGGCCTGTCCCGCTTCATGAGGAGTATTCAAAAAAGAATTAAAAATAGTCTGGGGACGCTTTTCTATGATTGCCGACTATCTTGGCGCATGTTTTAAAGAATTTGTGGCATTTCGTGCAAATCCGCCTGTAGGGGGGACATGCCCGACAAAAGTCGAGTGGGTCCTTTGCAGAGGGGGTCCCCAAAATATTCGCCATAGCTCATGCCATCGTTCGGGCAATCGTTCTCTGTCGCGCCGTGCACGATAAGCAAGTGGCTGCCACTCGCGCCATGCGCCACTCTCTCGCACGCCAGGCACCCCTGCGGCCCGAGCGTGCCAGGCACGCCTGGTGCGCCAGATACGCCACGTGCTCCGAGTGCGCCAGGTGTGCCGCGCACTCCAGCCGCGCCAGGTGCGCCACGTTCGGGGCACGTGCAAAATGCGTCAGGGGCGCCTGCGCACGTGACAGCACACATCGGGAAACATTTCGGCCCCCCACCATCCTTGTCGAAAACCAATGCCCATCGTTGTGTTTGGTGGGCCTGCGCACAACAGGCCACGCGCCACCACCCCGCGGTCCCTGTCAAAAACCATTTGAAAGTATGCAGGATGGCCACGCATGGTCCAGATGTAGCCGCGAGGTGCATGTTGTATTGTTTTTGCTGGGTCAGGGAGGGTAGCCCTGCGCGCAGCAGAGAATATGCTGATACCCCCGCCGTCCCTGCCAAAAACAACATAAAGTGCTCGTCGGCGCCAGGAACATGAGTGACTCAAGATTTTGCCCCGACGTGTGATGTGTACGGTTTTCACAGGGATGGTGGGGGGGGCCGCATCGGGTTGGCCGCGCATGCTCCAAATGTGGCGGCAGAGTGCGGTTTGCGTTGTCTTGTGACAGGCATGGTGGGGAGCGTGTCGTCATGGTGTCCTCATGGTTTCTTGTTGGACGCCGGTCGCCTGGGGGAGGGGTGTGTAGAAATAAGGAACAATGATAAGCCCCTCCCCGAATAGGAAAAAAGGGGGTTGGAAGAAGAAGAAGAAGCTCCCTAGACCACCTACGCCCAGAGGGCTGGTGGGATTCGACGGGGGGAGGGAGCACGGGGGAACGTTACGTTGCATGTGCTCAGCGGCGAGAGAGGGGGAAGTGAGAAGGGCCGGGCCTTCTCAGAAGGATCGGAAGCCCCCTCTGGCCTTCTGAGGAGTGTTCTGAGCCTTCCCCAAAGACAGGACTTCTTGGAAAGCCGGAGGGCTTCTGAGAAGTCCCGCCGCCTTCTGAGAAGGTCTTCTCCTTTTCACTCCCCCCCCTCGCTCGCCACCGATCTTCGGGGAGGGGCTTTTCTGTCCTGTAGATGGCTGTGTTTTCCGACGCGGATTCGACACGGGTTCAACACGGATCCGACGCGTTCGACATGTATTCGCCGTGGATGCGGCACGGATCGTTGGCGTGATGGGACGGGCTAGGCCCCTCCAAAGGTGCAACACAAGGCACGCGGGCCCCGATCAAGGGTTTAGCATAGCGTTGGCCCTGAAGCAAAAGAGCTGGGAGAGCCCGGCGGCGGAAGGCTTCTGATGCGTCCCGCCTTCCCCCGAGGTGGTGTGACCCCGGCCGGCGTTCCGCGTTTTGCTGCTTTCCAGGGGTCGCGCCATACCGAGGAGTGGCGCGGCTTCGGGGAGCTTGGGCCAATAAAGCATGTGTCATCCTGGGCCCCATGGGTTCTTAGAGAGTTCTTGGACTCAGAGTCGGCCTCGGCCAGCGCCGGCGAGCTTGGGCCCCGCAAGCGTTTGCCATCCTTGGTCCCAAAAGTTCTTATAGAGTTCTCTGGGGCTTTCTTTCGGCCTCGGCCAGCGTCGGTGCGCGTGCACAGCTCTGGCCCCCCTGCTCCCGCCCAACCTCGAGCTCTGGCGAAGCGTCTCGGCTCGCCTATAGGCCCACCAAAAAAGGCTGTGAGAGCCTTTTGCGGCTTGCGCGAAATGTTACGACAGCATTTCTTGGCTGAGACTGTCTTGTTTCAACCCATCGGATTTATGTTCTGAGAACCTTGTTTTCGTTATCAGAACAGCTTGTCGCTCTGAGAACATCTCGTGGTAGGTCTATAGACATGCCGGGACGGTCTGTCCCTGCCGCCGCTGCGTGCGAGCGCGCGCGCGCGCGCGACCGGCCGCGAGCGACCGCGCGCTGCTTCTCGGCTCCAGCAGCGAGCCTTGGCCGCGCGCCTCCCCCCCCAATGGCCGCCGCGAGCCTGGGAGGGGACCTGGGTCGGGGGGTCGTCCCTGACATCCGGTCCGCCGCACTTTGTTCTGCAGTGGAGGACCATGCCAAGAAGCACCCTGCTTGCCACCAGGGTGCTCCTGGTCTCTTAGGTTTCGATGGTATTGCAATGGGAAGCGTGACGTTCCCATACCAGGAATCAGTGGACGCCCTGGGGCCTCAGGCTTGGGCTTCTTGCGGAAGGTCCTCGTGGACTGGCCCCCACTGTACTTCTCTGAGGCGGGCAGTTGCGCCCTGCGTTTGCGCTTCGTTCGGGCTGCTTCCCCGCTGCGCAGGTCCGGACGGGAGAGCTTTTGGCCAAGGCAAGCGGCGGAGCCATCGGTCGGGGGCCAGCGCGCGGGGCGTGCCCGCGCCGTGCACCTCTCACGACGCGGGGGCTCTGGCCGCTCTCGGCGTCTGGGGGGGCCCTCGCTGGGCACGGGGAGCCCCGGCGCGCGGCGCCTCGTGGAAGAGCCACCGGCCCCCCGGGGGGGCAAGGGGGCCAGGGCTTCTGGTCGGGGGCAACGAGAGGAGGGGATGGGCATAGGGGGCGATGCATCGACCCCCAATCGCCCATTGATCGCCGATGGGGGCCCGATAGCCCCAACCTGCCCAGGAAGGTTCGGATTCACTATCGGGCGCCCATCGCCGATCCATCGGCGGTGTATCGCCGATTCGAGGTTCATGCATCCCCCCCTATGCCAGTCCCCCCTTTCGTTGCCCCTCATCTGGGGGCCCCGTGGTGGCAGAACCGAGACCTCGCACGTCTGGCGCTGCTGCCAGTGGACGGGGAAGGCGGAAGAGGAGCAGCGCGGTCGCCGGCGCGCCGCCTGCAGCAGAGGAGGTCCGCGACGAGGCCTCCTCGTGCAGCCCAACATGGGCGCATAGGGGGGCGGCGGAGACGGGTGGGGGGCGACCGGCCGCCGCTTCTGCAGGCCAGATCGGCGCTCAAGACGTTATACCAAACCGCTTTCGAGGCCCGAATGTTACGTCAAGGTGTCTCGATGTCTTTGCATCTGTTGCGCCATTCCTCAGCATCTTCCAATCCGTCTCGATCTCGATTTCGAGATTCCTCTCGGTTAAATCTCGCGGTGCCTACTCATCGTTCGCCTCCCCTGGTTGGCGCCGCCCTGTTTCGAATTAGCTTCTGTTAATTCGTTTCAATAACGAGGGGAACACACACACACACACACACACACACGCACACAGTGCCGCACACACGCACACACATTCACACAGACAGAATCGTCGATCCTCCCGAAAAGTATGGTTAAGTATAAGGGAATTCGGGGTGGGACGGCGGAAACCAGACAGAAGCCTGGCATTTCTCTCCATTCATTCGTGCGTCCCTGGCCCACCCCTTCACTCCATCTCCCTCAGTCAGACCTCGCGGCGCGCTCAGCTCTCGCCTCCCCCCGTGGGCGCCGCCCCCGATGTGGAGCTGAGCGGCCTCCCTGAGCCTCGGAGTGCGGGGGATGTGCCGCGGACGAGGCGCCGTGGCACGGGGGGGGGGGGCACGCCAACGGGCCGGGCTGCAGCTCCCGGGAGGGCTGCGAGCATCCGGCCTCGGTCCCAGCCCGAAGAGACGTCCTCGGTTAGGTGGCGACAGTCAGACCCTGCCCCCACCGACCGTCGGTTCTCCCGAGCCAGTGGGAGGCAGGGGCATGGCTCGAATGTCAAGCGTGCCCGACGCATTTCGAAAACCTTACCCCCGCCGCCCATTGATCGGCGGCGCGCCCGGGGGGGGAAGTGAGAAGGTTCGGGCCTTCTCAGAAGGCCCCGAAGTCCCCCCGGGCCTTTTGAGTCGGGGGTTCGTAGAGGGAGGGTTATCCCAAGGTGGGGCTGGGAAGCGGGCCCAGCTGGATGCTCCCGTATGACGCGTTTCCGTCTTCCAGGTGCCATTCGACGAGATTGTCTCTCCAATCCCACCTCTGTCCCAACCTCACCTTTAATGTGCCCCCCGATGGAGGAGTGTTCTGAGCCTTCCCCGAGGCCAGAAAACTTCTCTCAGAAGGCGCGAGGGTTTCCGAAAAGTCCCGCAGCCTTCTGAGAAGGCCTTCTCCTTCTCACTCCCCCCCCTCGCTCGCCGCCGAGTCCTGGGCTCCATCTGCGCCAACCCTTCGAAGAAGAGAAAAGCTGCATGCTACAGTTCTCATGACGTCATTCTCTCTCCGTGCTGGCCGCAACGTCTATGCTCAAGTCTTTTCGAAACGGCGACGCCTGAGGTGCATGATTCTCACCGCCACCTACACTCTGTGGGAGGCCGCAAAGCTTGTGTGGCTTTCCCTCTCCCCGATAGCAACTTCCGCGCCGGCTTGCGCGGTGCAGAGTAGCTACCTTGGATCGCCCTACGTGTTCAGTCTGGTGACTCTTCTGATCGAGATCCTCGTCGGGGTTGAAGGTCACGCGCTGTCCTCTCGCAGACATGATGGACTTAGCCCGGAGGTTGTTGAGGCCAGGTCGCGAGATCGTCGTAACGTGCCAGACCGAAAGGCAGCTGTGGCACAAGAGGTTGATTCTAGAGACCTGCGACGCCGCTACCTGGGAGAGGATCACGGGCCAAGCCGCAGACGTTCCAACGAGTACCATCATGTGGGTGATGACTCCGTGAGGGGATATCGATCCCCAGGAGCTGAGCTGCCCACCGCTGCTCGCCGTCGTTCCGTGCGATCTCGAGGGGGGCCCGATCCGCGATCAGGTGCTGGGGCCGCCGTCGCAATGGGGCCGGATCTTCGAATTTGGACAGCTTCCGCGGCCCGCACAGTACGAGCGAGCTCGAGCAGCGGATCGAGCTCAGAATCTTCGGAGGTTGATCCCCGCGCTCGACGGCGACGTGGTCGCTGAGGCTCTCGTTGTGGCGGACCCGGGTGCTGCGCCTGTGGATGGCACGCGCGCGCCCGATGGGCCATGCGCGTTGCCGCCGCCGACCCCTGTGGTCCGCCCAGAGGACGCGGTCGCGCTGAAGGCCGGGGGGGACCTCGGGCTCAATTTCGGGGTGGGTCGCTTGCCTGCTCCATTCCGCCGCTGGTACGACATCAGCGGCTCTGCAGCTGTGGGGCTTGAGAGGCCCACTAGCGAGGGCTGGGTCCTCAGCGGCGAATCCTGTTCGCTCCTACAGGACGGCGTTGTGAAGATGAACTCGGATCGCGACGGCACCAGTTCTGGCCATGGCGACGGGGAGGATGAGCAGGAGTTCGACGCCCGCATCCTGGAGATCTCCAGGGAACGCCCGAGCCAGCGTTTCAAGGATTTCAAGGTGGCAGTGGACCTCACGTCTGAGATGGCTTGGGACTCAGGGCCCCTGGCGGGGCCGCGGACGACGAAATGGTGCTTGCAGTTCATTCTAAAGACCAATGGACACCCACGGGCGCGGCACTCCTGGTGGAAATCGACTTGCGGTCTTTCTGTTGCCGATTCTGGGGTTCCAGATCATGAGACGGCCATGAAGGCCGTGGAATACGTTTTGACACGCGATCAACTGAATGCTTCGGAGTTCTCTTTTGTGTGCTGCTATTGCGCCGTGCTCAGTTGGCCGAGTACCGCTGCAAGCACTGTTGTTTCGTACGGACGGCCAGGTTGACAACATGTTACAGGGAAAAGTTCAGTAGATGGGCGTCGGCGAGACACGTGGCCAAGTGATGCTATGTCCTCTCCTCGAGGAGTTCGTGGCGGCGGAAGTGCACCGCGAGTCTACGATCGCAAAAGAGGCGAGGAAGCTCAACCATGAAAGAAGACTGCAGGCCGGTCAAGCCTCGCACCAGCAGCGGCCAATGTCGCTGACGACACCCAAAGACGCGTTTGGAGGTGCACCGCCGCCTGCCAAGGGCAATGGTAAAACAGAGTGGGATGCCGCGAAGGCCGCCGCCAAGGCTTTAAAAAATGCCACAGCGGCAGCAGGTGCGGCGGCCCAGCGGACGTGAACACCAGGCGGCTGGGGTCCCGTCCAATCGCCGTCATCAGGGATGCCAGTGTCTCGAGAGCTGCTACCTCTAGCTCCGCCTTATCCACGAAAAGATCAAGTTTGTTCTCGCGCTTCTGCGTGCCGCGCTGTCCGACGTCGTCATAGCATGCGTCGGCATTGGCAGAATTGGGTTAGTTCGGCTGTTGAGTGCTTGAACGAGATATACGGTTGCAGAATTCATCCTTCACCTGGTCTGGGGGCCTCAGAGTCCCACAGTCTTTGTGTGAAGCTTCTGTCCGGCATCTACTGGGCTCTACCGCCTCTCCTCATTGCACGGCTGCGCAAGCCCTAGCGGAGCTTGGCGGCAGTCGCCCTGGGCACTCCGGCTTTGGCCCTAGGCGCAGCTTCCAGCCAGCCTGACATCGTCTCATTGCCCGACGTGGGCGGCTTGGCCGACGGCGAGCAGGTGCTGTCTGGACTGGCTCTTTAACGCTGGAGGTCTATATCGATTAACTTGCGGACTGGAGTTGTCAGCAGCTCGAACGCGACTTCGCGCACCATTCAGACATATAGTGATCCTGTGCTGGCCAAGGACCAGGCGCCATGCGTGACTTGATCCTGCAGATGCACCGTGCTGGGCTGGTCACGCTTCGACCAGAGCGCCCAGCCGCGGTTGGCATTTTCTTCGTCGCAAAGAAGGGCGGCAGGCTACGTGCGATCCTGGGCGCCAGAGAAGTCAACGTTCTGTTCGCGGAGCCGGCGCACGCGAGGCTGCCCGCGCCCGTTTCTTGGGCTTCAGTCGAGATCGGAGTCGCGGGCGACCTCGTCCTCTCGCAGATGGACGTCGACAGCGCTTTCTACCGCTGCAAAGCACCTCCTGGAGTGTCGGACTGGTTCGCACTACCTCGAGATTCATCGCGGCAGCTTCGTCGTGTCGAAGGTGATGTTTGATTTCGTGCTGGCATCGGCTCATCTGGCTACGTCGCGCCTCGCTTGGAGGTTATGGCGATGGGGTGGTCTTGGGCGCTGTGCCTCTGCCAGGCCATGGCAACGGCCGGCGCCCTCCGTGCCGCGGCCCCCGCGGCGGCTTGCCTGTTGGATAAGAAGCAGGCCTTAGACGTCACGGGCGCCAACTTCGGCGCGGTCATCTACGCGGGCAACGCGGGGATTGCGGGCACCGGCGACGGCGTCATTAGCGGCGCGGCACAGAAGCTCTAAAGCCAACTGGCGGCCGATGGTCTGCAGTGCAAGGAGCTCGATCACGGGTTGCCCGGGGCTCAGTTCATTGGAGTGACCCTGGGCAGGGTCAGCGGGCGCATCTCCGTCGGCCACCGACGCTGTTGGAAGGTGCGCCTCGCGATCCAAGGCATCCTGGATGAGGCTTTTTGTTCTGGTGAACTGCTGCGCCACATTGTGGATCGTTTCACGTGGTCTGCGATCCTTTGACGGTGTTTGCTGAGCATCCCACGCGCCATCTACAGGTTCATCGACTGTGCTGGAGGTAATCGCATTCGCCTCTGGCCATCATGGAGCCGCGCTAGATGATGGTGCTGCTACCGCGCGCCTGCGCCGACGGCAAGAGGCCCTGGTCCACGGTTGTCGCGGCGTCTGACTCGGATGGCGCCAACGCCACCGACAACGGGGGCTTCGGCATCGCGAGTCGGGGCTACCAGCTGGACATCGCGCGGGGCTGTGGCCGACAGAGCGAGCGCTGGAGGTTCGCCGTCGAGGGCGCGGCGGAGGCGAGGCAGAGGGCGCTGGACGACGAAAAGGCAGACGCTTCTCAGCCAGATCCTGCCCGCGACTGCCCACTGGACGAATTGGCGCCCGAGCTATTCGACATTCGCCGCGGTGACATCGGCGACTTCAGCCGCGACTGGGGCCTTACGGCGAGAGGGGGGTGGCGCATGGCCGAGAGCATCGCTTCATCAGTGGGTCGCGCCCTTGTCATCGCGGCCAGAAGTCGCCTCCGCTCTACCCGTCACTTCTCTCGTCGCCACCTTCTTGGGAGACAGCTTGGGGTCTGTCTTGGCGCGGGGGAAGGGCGGGGCCAGCAGCGCCAACATCAATCGACAATGCCGTCAGCTAGCAGCCTTGCCACTGGTCTCCGATTCTGAATTTATCACCAGGTGGGCCCCTTCGGAGTTCAACCCTGCCGGCGCCGTTTCGAGGCCCCGGACGGGGCCGCCAGTGCGAGGCGGGGGCGGGCCGCGGGATGCCCGGCCACCCTGGGCCGCCCGAGGCGCCGAGTCGCGGGCTGCGCTCCAGTCTGCTGTCGAGGCTCTCGCCAGGACCAGCGACGGGGAGGCCGTCGTCGGCGAGTTCGACGACGGGGGCTGGCATCCGACCGGCTGGGCTCACGCAGTGGGATCTCCAGACGGTGGCTTCGGCGGTTGCACGGCACCGACTTTGAGCTCGGCGAATCGGGCGACTCAGAACCCGAAGATACTGACCGCCAGGAGCCTGCCGATGCCAGCCGGGATGCCAGTGACTGTGGAAGGCCAGGACCGCGCCAGCCAGCCACGCGCACTACGCGCGAGGCGGTGGCGCCGAGAGCACTTCAGCAAGGCGACGCAGGCGAGGCAGTTCGGTCAGTTCTTTTTGGAGGCGATCAGGGGCGCGAGACCTTCGGCGAGGATGCGCGACAGATGCGCTCGGGACTTCCAGCGGTGGGCCAGCGACAACCGCCTGCCACTGAACACGAGCGCGGACGCCAGCACAGTGGTGCTGGAGCAGGGCCCCGATGCCCTGGATAGATCTGCGCGCGCTGGTTTGAGCAGCCCTATACATCGACGAGCTCGAGCTCGCGCAGTGCCTCACCTTTCTCTTTCGGACCTTCTTGCGGCCGAGCGGGCGCCTGGAGGCCGCGCCGACCAGGGCCAAGGATTCCGACGAGAGCCTCCTGCTAGCCAGCATCGAGCTCACGTATTTGTACCCGCGCTTCATCACCCTGATGAAACGCGCCAGCCACGATGTGGTGCGGTCCTTCGGCTATCGGAAGTTCTCGAGCCCCTTCAAGATGTTTGCCGAGGTGGCGGGCCTGGGCCAGACCAACCTGCACCCTTACATGATGAGGCACGGTGGAGCATGCGACGATGCGCTCCATCAGGCGCGGTCGCTGGAGGCCATCATGCGACGCGGCCGTTGGGCTGCGGACACCTCGGTGAAGCGGTGCGTTCCGGCACCGCCAGGGGCCGTGGGCAAGAGGCTACCTGCGGGAAAGTAAGAAAGGTTTTCCATCGAGGCCATGGGGGCCACAATGCGGGTTTAGACACTTTTGTTCTTGCTCGCGTCATCCGTGCAAAGTTGCGGAGACTATCTCAGGCTCGCCGGGGGAGAGTTGCATCAGTTTCGCCTCGCTCAGTGGGCCAGAGTTCGATCTAACGAATGCTTTTTTTGTCAAGGTCGTCATAGGCTGGATCCAGGCTGGCATAGTCAGGGGCGCGTTCGCGGCCGTCCAGCGCAGTAGCTGGACGCCCGCCCTTTTCAAACAGATCCGACGATCATGGTGCCGTTGCGGGATTCCCGATCCGACCCCTGCGGAGGCGATCCGTTTCAAATCTGGCAGCAGAACTCTGATGACCACCAGGAGGGGGCTCGCCAGGGCTTGCATCAAGCAAAAGTCCCCAACGCTCCTTGAGAACCCTCACGCGTCAAAAGCGCGGCGAGCCTCATATGGAGGCCTTGATGAACCACCCGTCCTGTAGGCAGTTTGTTCTAGATCAGTGTGCGTTTGGAACGCGTTGGCGCAAACGAGCTAGATTTTGTTGGTTGGAACGTCCCGATGCTTCAACAAGAGAGCATCCGTTGTTCAGGACACGGCCGTTGCAGCTTCAGTCGCAGACCTAATATCATTTTCGCGGGAAGATCCCAGGCAGCAGCGTCAATCTAACCGCTATCGCGGCCTCCTACCCCAAAAGATTGTCCAAAACGATCGTCTTGTGGCTTCTTAGGTATGTCGAGGCTCTCCGAGGGGCCCATCTACCTTGTTTACTTGGGTGAGGTTGCACCTCAGGCGGCTCCAGAGAACAGTATGGGTCTGGGAGTTGCTGTGTCGTTTCAGGCCTGTTTAGGCCTAGCTTGTGCCCCCGTGGCTGTGCAGCCCCGGGGTCGTGGCCTGGGATGTCAAGGAGTGGTGGATCTGGGCATTTGCCTGGTCGCGTGGGCTGGCAGATATCCACATCCATTGCTCCCCGAGACCCCAGGGCGCGATCCCGCGGCAGTGGATATGGACATATCCTGGCGGCGCACCAAATGTTCGTCTTCTCCCCTCGGTTTCAAGGCCTCGTCTCGGGCAGAGGGCGGATCACCCCAGGCTGCGCGGACCTCCGAGCTGTTATGTTTTGCCATTTCTGGAACACTGCTGGTTTTTCAGAACTCTGACCTGGCGGTGGTGGGGCTCGCTCGTGCTTGCCTACATGTAGCGTGCCCCGCTGGCGCCCCTGCGCAAGGCACCTCGTGAGGCCGCCGTGCCAGCTTGCGTAAGTATCGCCTCGCCGACCTCTACAGGGCTGGTCTCGATTCTTCCGATTCGATTCGATTTGACTTCGATGGATTCCGATTCCGGTTCGTTTCGATTTCGGATTCCGATTTGGGTTCCGATTTCTCATTGGACGCCCCACCTCCATCCATCTCACCGCCCCAGTGGGGGATATACCCATCGAAACCCGACCGGGACATCCTACGTTCCCATCTGGGGGGGGCATAAATCGGCCAGTGGGGCACAGGCCGCGCCCGTGGGGATACGGGTCGGTTCGACGAGGCTGAGCAAGACCCGCGTCTTTCCGTTGCTCACTTGCAGGAGCACGAGGGCGAGGAGGAGGGACAGGAAGCAGGCGCAGGAGCAATGAGGAGGAGGGGGCGAGGGCGGGAGGAGGCCCAGCAGCAGCCGCGGCGCGGGACGGGGCGGAAGGCAGACGGCGCTTCCTCGTGGTTAACGTTGGGCGGGCTCGAGCGGGCTGAGCGGCGTCGACGTCCGCCCGCGACCGCGGGGGGTCTGCATGTTACGCAGCGCAAGTTGGGAGGGACAAAAATACAGTGGAAGCCCATGCCAGGAAGCACGTGTCCTGCCTCCAGGGTGCACTGGATGTCTTGGGTTTCGATGGTTTTGCTATGGAAAGCGTGACTAAAAATCAATGGACGTCCTGGCGTCTCAGGGCTGGGGTTCTTTGGGAGGTTTGTTGTGGTCGAGCTCCTACTGTAAGTGAGGAGGGAAGACTAGGCACAACACACATTGACTCCTTTTTTCATTCGGGAATGGTAAAATTCTGGACATGGAGGGGAAGAGTATCACCCAGGACAATTATGTAAGCTTCAAGGAAACATTGAAATTAGTGTCGAATCATTTGTGTCTCCCTGGGCCCCTTCAGTAAGGCCCGTTCTGTTCGTCGCTCTTGTGGGGGCCTTGGCACGCAGTGAGGTCCCACAGGCGACTAGAAAGAGAGAGAGAGAGAGAGTCTGGATCTCCGAGGTGGGGCCGAAGGATCACGCCGCATCGCCAACGCATCGGCAGTGCGGCGCGACGTTTCGGGCAGATTGTCTTCACGCCGATGGTGGACGTGGCCGATGCATCGCCCATGCGTCGGCGATGCGATGCATTGGCGACCCGGCGCGATTCTCCGACCCCATCCACTCGGACCCCATCTGTCAGGAGGAGAAAACAACACAGAGACGCATAATCGTCGATCCCAGGAAAAGATATGAGAAAATATGGGAAGTGGAGGGGCAGACGACCATCCAGAAGGTGTGGACAGACACGGAGAATCTTGTGATCTGTGTCCACTTGTTTGTGTGTCCGTGGGCCCTTCCAGATGCGTTGGCGAGGCGATGCATTGGCGACCCGGCGCGAGCCTCCGACCCCACCTAGAGTCCATGCGCCTACTAAGGACGTGCGCCTTTGTCTAGGGTAGCCCTGTGCCCTCGCTGTCTGCGGCCCGCCCTCTGCCGTTCTCACTGGCCGCCCGTCGCCCAGTCCCAATTCTTCGGCCTCCGAGGGTCTTGCGTTCTCACCACCCGTCCTGAATCTGATGGGCCAGGTGTCCACCACCACCACCATAGGCAAGATGGGAGAGAAGGAAGGATGGGCAGGTCCTCCTCCTCCTTCTCCCCCTCCTCCTCCTCCTCCCCCCCCCCCCTCCTCCTCCTCCCCCTCCCCCTCCTCCTCCTCCTCCTCCTCCCCCTCCCCTCCCCCTCCTCCTCCTCCTCCTCCTCCTCCTCGTCCTCCTCCTCCTCCTCCTCCCCTCTCTCCTACATGTGGTTGTGGTGATGGAACATCGGCCCCTGATGATTTTTGTTTGTCAGTGTGGAAGACCTTCAGAGAGGCGGGCGGCGGTGGTGGCCGACGGGAAGGGGCGCCCCGCCCTCCGCCCGCGCGGCCGCCGGGGGCCAGGGGGGGCGCGGCCTGCCCCGCCGACGAACGCAGCGTGAGATGGCGGGGGCGGTGCGCCCGGGCACCCCCGCCGGCAGTCGGGGGGAGCGGAGATCCACCAGGGTCGGGACGATCGGAATATGTACGGCGAGAATGGGCACGAAGACAAACAGTTCGTGTGTTCATCCTAAGCAGGACTCGCTGGCGGCGTCGCCGCGGACTGCGCCCCTTTGAGGCAGAAGGCCGCCTGCCCAAGAGTGGCCGCTGCTGGTTTGTGGCGACATGTGCTGTTGGGCATTACGCCCAGTTTCTCCGCACCCAATTCGGGCGTCCGAACAGGGGGCCGGATGCAGTGAGCTTTTGGCAGCAAACCAAGGGAGCCTCGTATACCCCTGCAACTCGGCTTCTTCACCGAACAAGAGCAAACGACATAAATATAAACTCTTGGTGCTCCGCGCTGATCTCTTAGATCCGCGCTCGGCCCCCCTTGGCTGCGCCTCAGGCGCCGTTCCTGGCGCGCTTCGCGCGCCAGGAAGGGGGGTCCAGCGCGGATCGAAGAAATCCGCGCGGACCTCCAAAAGTTCATATTTATGTGTTTTTTGTTGCTCTGTCGTTAGGCGTCGATAGACCCAACAAGTTGGTATGGGAGGCTTGGTTGGTTTGCGTATGGGAACAGGACGCGGTCGGCCTGGGCTTGGTACGGTCGACATGGGTACGGAAGGAATTGGTATGAAGGCCGACGCACCGCCGACGTTGCCGATGTACCATGCATGTTTCGCCGATGCATCGGCGATGCGGCGCGATCCTCCGACTCGGACCCCATCTTGGAGGCCTCCATACAACCTGCTTGGCACGACCGAACTGGGTACGGAAAGGATGGATGCCAAGGCCGACAGCAGTTTTCTTGCTCATCTCGGGCAGGGCTCGCTGCCGGTGTCCCCGCGGACGATTCCATCCACTGGAGGCAGACGGCTGGGCTGCCCAACAAGCTGTCGCCGTCGGTGTTGGACAACATCGGATGTGGGGCATCGTGCCCATCTGTGTTGTGCAGGGGGGGGGGCCGTGCCAACGCCTCGCTTGCCTCCAGGGTTCCCTGGGCTATCTTCGGTTACGATAGGTTTGCTATGGAAAGCGTGGCGTCCCCACACACACAAAAAATCAATGGCCGTCCTGGGGTCTCGGGGTTGTGTGTCTTGTGGAAGGTGTCTGGAGGACGGGCCTCCACTGCACCCACCTCGGGCGCCCAATCATGTGGCCGGCTGTCTCTCCGGCGCTTGGCTCGCCTATGGCTGTGCTGGCTGGGTCGGTGTCCCGCATGCGCATGTCCAGCGTGTGGCCGCCAGCTGTCCCACATGCGAACCCAGCCATGTGTGCTTCTAGCTTCCTGGTGGGCCTCCCATGTGGGGTCCGAGTACGGTAGGTTTGCGTCGTGTCGACCAGCGGCGACCCCAGCGTTGGCGTTCAAGGTTGAACGCCGCCGGCGACCCAGAATCGATCGATGTTGAACGATCGGACGTTGCGGCAGCGGCCGATCGTTTAAGGTTGAACGATCCCTGCGGTGTCAAAAACCAACGCTGGGGTCGGCACGACACGAACCTGCCGTAGATGGGGTCGGAGGATTGCGCCGCATCGCCGATGCATCGTCGATGCAGCGCGCGATGTGAGGCCCGCTTTTTGTTCCCACGCCGAAGGCGCCGATGCAGCGCAGACGTCGCGGATGCATCAGCGACGCATTATCGACGCGGCGCGACTGTCGGCCCATCTATTCGGACCCCATTGGGGAGGCCTCTAAAACCAGTATCAATGTCACGCAGGCGTGGGGAATCCATCAGCGTGTTGC